AATTGTTACAACGATGGCGAGGGCCGGAAGCATACAAGTGTGACCATTACAAAGTAAGTCCCAAATATTTACTAAGTACATATTACAAATCAACAACAACATTCCCGGGGGCCGCCTCCTCCGATGGTTTCGAAGTGACCTCTGCATCGGCCTCAGGTTCGTCACCCTCGGCTTCCTTCCGGAGCTCGGTGTCCTCCAGGTCTGGCCTCTCGACATCGGAGGGGAGAGGAACACGGATGTCTGGCTGCAGGGGGGAAGCCCGTATGCCGCCGAGTCGAAGTCCTTCGGCTCAATTTTCAAGTGGCGAGCCATCCTCCGGTAGATGAGGGCTTGGGTGAAAAACTCGCCCCCATCATAATATTGTTTGCCCTTTCGGGCCATCCATTCCTCGCCCGGGCCCTCGCACCACTCATCGACTGAGGCCTCCACAACCGAGGACAGCCACTCCTTGTGTCCCTCGGCCTTCCACCCCCCATCCAGGAACCCGGAGATGGCCTCCTCCCGGGCTGTGACGACAGCCTTCGCTCTGACGGCCTCGGCCTCCTCGACGGCTTTCTTTGCGGCCTCCGCAGCAACCTCCTCAGCTTTGGCTTTCTCCTCCCTAAGCCTTCCGGCCTCCGCTCTCGCAAGCTGGAGGTCCTCTTCAAGCTGGGCCATCAGCTTCGTGGCCTTGGAGTCCTTGAGAATGAGCTCCTTCATCTTTGCGTCTTGCCCAGCTTTGTGGAGACGCCATTCCTCCAGCCGTCGGGCCTGCTCTCCGAGGGCAATGCAGGTCTGCAAAAATAAAGGAGTTAGCAGGGCCGAACATGATTCCCTAGTTCGAAGTAAAGAAGAGAAAGATAACTATCATAGACTTACCGTGAGGGAAGACCGGAGGATCCTGTCCTCAAGGGCTTGGTCATCATCAGCCCCGAGGGCTGCCCTGTCAATATCGAGGGTTATACCTCTCAGAAGCGCCCTCAGGTCAGCTGTGCCATTCAACACGGCCGTACCAGCCGGGAGGGAGAGCGTAAGGACCTCGGGAGATGGCTCCCGGACACCCCTCGGCACCTTCGCCACCGGCATCTCCTCGTGCACCCCGGAGGCGGGGGCAATCATCCACAATCACCACCGGGGGGTCCTTCTTCGTGGTGTCCCCCTTCTTCGATTTCTTGCTAGCCGGGGGGATTCCTTTGCCGTTGTTTTCCTCTTCGCGGCAGCAGCATCGCCCTCGGGCTTCTTGAAAAACGCACCGACGGGCTTTTGGCCGCCCGCGTCCGACCCCTTCGGATCCTTGGCCGGCTTGTTCTTGAATCGGGCAAGGCCTTTGACGTTCATCATATTCACTGGGATACCTGCAAAAATAGTATGGGGTTAAAATCGAGGGGTTACTAACAGAAGGCACAAGAAATAAAAGAACAAACAGATAAACTATGTGCTAAGATATGAAAATGAGGGTGCCCTCAGCCACTACCTCCGGAGGCTCCCTCAAACACCGGGAACTTCTCATCTGTTTCCCCCAGGAAGCGATACCGCCGGAACCCGAGGGTGTAGAGATCTTCCTCTTTGGTGCACTCCTTAATGGTAATATTTTTGTCCCGGCCCTCCGGGATCGTGGCCAGAATCCTGCCGTCTTGCTCGAGGGCGGCGCTCCTCCTCTTCTCGTGCCTCCTGAAACGGTCACGCAACTCCCTCGGGAAGGGGCTCTCGGTCAGCTTCACGTAGCACCACCGGTCCTTCCACCCCTTGTTCGAGGAGGGCGCCTCAGTGAAGAGCTTGAACATTGCCACCTGCTGCAAGTTTGCGAAGCCCTCGGCATTCGCATGCCCCCCCGGCACAGATTGAAGCTCTAGAAGAAGAGGTCCAGGCTAGGTGTCACCCCCCGGGACTTGCAGAGCTGGAGGAAGCCGGTAATGTAGGAATGGCTGTTCGGGGTCAGCTGGCAGGGGACCAAACCCACGAACCGGAGGTACTCCCAGAGGAAAGGGTGCAGGGGGAAGCGGAGCCCCATGGACACCGAGAGAACGTGCACCGCAATACAGCCCTCGGGAGCCCGGGAGAGGACGTCATCTGGACCCGGTGTCACCACGATGGCCGAGGGGCCCACGTGAAGCTGAGTGACGTAGATGTCCGCCGCATCAACCTTCAACCTTATTTCCAAGGCGGCGGTGTTCAGGTAGGAGTACCCCTCGGGCATATCGAGGGGCTTCCCTTGATCTGCAACGCTGCCCTTCTTCTTGGGAGAAGCTACCTTGGCCTTCTTCTTCCCGGGGGCCACCCGGATGGGAACCGCGTTCAGCGGCCGAGAGGTGCTGGCCTCACCGGCACCCGGGGGGGGGGGGGGGGAGCACAGCCACGGTCACCCTCGTCCTCTCCTTTGCTTCCTCCTCCTCTGCAACCTGCATGGCGAGGGCCAGCTCTTCGTCTTCCACCTCCTGCTCGAAGCCCTCGGCTTCAACTTCAGCCAACAGCTCCTTCTGCACTTCTACTGCCATCGCAACATCCTCCTGGGCCGAGGACTGTTCGTTTGAGGACTCCACATCCGAAAGGACTCCATCCTCCATCGAGGGCGCCCCCGAGATGTCTTGAGAATCACTCTGTGAAGACATTGCTATACTACGTCGAGGGTTCGGAGACGTTAAGTACTCTAAGCTACCCATCTAATCTAAGGCCACAAAGACAGCTAGCTAAGAGGTGAAGTGCGAATGGAGAACTGACCTTAGAATCTGATCGAGGGCTGCTGTTTCTCTCTCTAGAAAATTTGGCAGAGCTTCGCTATAAGGATTTCGCACAAGGGGAAGGAAGCCCGGCCATGGGTATTTATAGGCACCGGAATCCGGGCTTGGGCCTGGAAACCGGGCCTCCGGTTGGACTGTCATCATTACTCGCCGTGTCTTCGCCCAATCGGTGACGCCCGCCCACGGGCAGCCAACGAGCACGCACCACGTGGCAACCCCCCTCCAACGGCTATATCCGGACGATACATATTCCAACGACTATATTTCCAACGACTATATTCTGGGAGCCCCCGGGTTTTTACTTCACTCCACTTCATTAAGGGGAGCCCCCAGGTACACTTACTCAGAGACGCTCACGGGTTGTGCCCCACACAGTACGTAACAGACGCCTTCGGGATCACTCCTTCAGAAGCCCAAAGCTTTTTATGAGGCCACCCCTCAGGGATCCCCCCTCAGCACTGTAAGGGCCGGGTAGCCCCCGGGGAGTATACCTCATTGACGGATAGCCTACGGCTCACAGGTAATGGGGAGCCCTCAGGTATCTTCATCACCAACTAATCACCAAACAGGGGACCCCCCGGTAACGACTCGACTGTCACCCGCATTCATTACGCCATCGATCCCCAGATTGAGGGACCCGCCTTCAGCACCTCCCAGGACATCAACAACAAGCCTCCGGCTAATCAACACATGAGCCCTCAGAACAAGGAGAGCCTTCGGCATCATCATTATTTTCCATTTTGAACCAAGGTTTCACATTTTCGATTCATCGTTGGGGGAATTCGGTGCACTCTTTTTCCCTCATTAGGATTTTTTCCCACAGGGTTTTTCCTAATGAGGTTTTTAACGAGGCATCCCCCCAAAATGAAACGAAAAGCGTCAGCCTTCGGCCCACAACAGCAGCGCAACTACTCTACTCCTTTTCACCACTTTGCAAGTGCCTCAAGGAGTGGGGGACTGGAGGACCCCCTCGGTAAAAACCACAAAAATTACAAACATGACCCCTCAAGTCCCGACATGTGGGTAACTGAGGGACTGCCCTCGGCAGAATAAACAATCAACAAACTACCCACGACTCTACGAACTACAAACGAAACAACGGCAGAGGACAAGCACAATTACTCCTTTTCCCTCAAGTACTTTTCGACAAAAGGAGTGAGGGACTCCTCATGGAGTATATGGCCCGGGAACCCCCGGCCCACAGACTCCTACTACTCCAAACAAAGGCCCAACAGGCCCAGAAGGCCCAACAGGCCCAAATCACAGCGCCCAGAGTACCAAGCAGCCCACAATGCGCACCAGGGGTGCCTTCGGCCCCCTGGCCGAGGGCTCTAACTCCCACAGGAGGGCCAAAACAGGAAAACAAGATGACTGGGGAAAACGGCGAAAATCACTAGCCCTCGGGACCTGGAGCCCTCGGTACCAAGAGGGTCCCCAGTACTCAGAGCCCTCGGTTAGTCCTCTACAGCCGAGGGCACCTTTCCTGACATGATATCCGCACCACATGCGTACAGATCACCGTACCCTGTACAAACGTCCCATCCAACAGCCGCATTAAATGCGGCCACATGCGGCTGCCAGCGCCAACCAGTTGAGGTGACCTCTCGGCCAATGGGCGCTTGACACGTGTCCCTGTCCGGCATTTATTGCTACTATAAATAGCACCCCATTCCCCCATTTGTAACCACGCTGAAAACGCTCCACACTTTATAATATACTTCCTCTCTCTATACTTACTTGCTCTGACTTCTCTCTTATTACTCCCCGTAATAACCCCTCGGATAAGCTACCCCCCGGGTACACTATCCATCAAGTGTTTTTTACAGTAAACATGTTTTCCTATTTGCTTTGTTATAGTTTTACAGCTTTTCCATAAAACTAAAAAATACCTCTATTAATAATTAATCCCTATTTTTACCATAACAAAAAACAATATATATATGTACACACACACAATTGTACTCACCCTTGTATCATACTCACTTTACACCATCATATTTGTGAAAGTTTTTGTGTGTGAATTACGGGTTCATAGACACATTTTCTCTATGAACCAGATACACAGACAAAAAGCATTCCACCTTGGGTATAAAATGGTGGATCCTTCCTTGAACAAAAATGACTCGTTTGTTTTCTTTTGGATCTCCATTTTCCAAACAACAAATCTTAGTGTACACCTTCTTATGCACATAAGTACACTACGTGTCAGAGAGAGTTTTTTTATCTGTGAATCATATTATGTGTATACAAAGGTGTAAAAAAGTAATTTTTGTTTTGCAAATCCAGATTCACTTGCTCTCCATCCTGACTTGCACTTTCATACATTTCCATTTATGACAAAAATTCCATCGAAACATCCCCAGTTCGCAGGGAGCTACAGATCTGCAATTATGAAAACAAGCTTCGCTCCCACCCCTCAAATTCCCTAATAGATCTGATCTATCTGACTTCCTCATCTGCCGAGTGTAGAGCTTCCCTCTCATCGCCTCCATCGTTCCTCTCCATCATTACCGGATGCGTACTTCTTCCGACTGCCGTGCTTCTCGCCTATGCCCGAGGAAACTCCACTTCACACTCCGTATCTAACACCACTGGACCTTGTCGTATCTTACGGTTTCTGAGGGCCTTTTACCCCATCCCTGTCAATCAGACACCTCGTGAAGTGTCCTACACGTGTCTGAGTCTCCGTCACGCTATTTCTCCAGTCTTGGCGCGTCCGTGATTCATTGCTCGGCTGATAAATCTCTCCTCATGGAAAATGCTTTAAGGTACGACCTCTAATTGTTTCTGGTGTGAATGTGCAGTCTCTAATCTGTTGTAAGAAATTTCAGGTTGCTGAAAGGTCGCAGCTTTCCTGGTAAGGTATTCATAACCCCCAGGGCAGACCCGCTGGATGCCTCAGCTTTATACTCCCCAACTAGTAGCAGGATAATATCAAATGAGACAGGACCAAATGAACAAATTGATGAATCCCATGAGGTATAACATGTGCAGATGTCGCATTTTTACTGTCTCAATCTTGGGCATTTATGTTGTATGTTAATTCAGAATATATAGTGCTCAAAGAGATGCATTGCTTTTAGGATGAAGAAAGCAGAAGCAACTCTGATCCTAGTTCATCTGTTAACAAGATGAATTCATCAACATCAAATGCCGAGCCCAAGTACACAGAGATTCCAAGGACCCCCATGGGATCTAGAGCTACTGATTCAGCAAGGTTAATGAAGTTCACTAAAGAACTGTCTTCAACAACTGTTGTCTTAGGTACTAGTTTCTTTCCTTCGCATACATTGTAATCTTTCTTAAAACATATCCTGACATTTTTAAAAGTGTAACAGAAGGATTATTACATGTCAACTCTTTCAGTATTTCATAGTGTAAAGCTACAATGCTTAGTTGGTGTCACATGATTTACCCTTAATTTGTGGTATACATTAAGCTTGTCCTAGCGAAAGTAAGGGGAGGGGAAACTTGAGTTTATCATCCAGTAAACAGTCTAAAGTTTGCACATCTAAACTGAACCTATGGAAGAGTATAGAGGTTTTAGGAAATGTAAGTTCACTAATTGTTCTTGACACAATGGCAGCATTTTTATATCATTTAATCACATTCATCTTGACTAGTATCACACACTCTAGTACTTGTGAATTGTGATATGTTTGGTTCACCTTTTCTAATTTTCATTAGGAAAGGTCACATGCCTTAAAAATGAATTATTAGCACCCTCATCTGTTGGATAACAGTCCGTATGACATGGTTAATTGTTTCCTTTGTGCTCTTACTTAATAGTACATGATACCCATCATGTAAATATTTAAATTAATTCTAGTCTGATTCAGAGATGGAGTTGTCTCGCTGGCTTTTTTGTTCAATTTGCAATTATAGTCATCCTATGAGATTTTATCCTTACAGATTCCCTATAGTTTCTCTTTATCCTCTTTATTAACCAATTCATTTCTCACAGATAAACTGCGTGAATTAGCCTGGAGTGGTGTTCCATCATATCTGAGACCAGTGGTGTGGAGGCTCATTTTGGTATGCCTCTTTTCCTGCTAATAAGCATAAAGATGTAATTTCTTAGAAACTGTGTATGCTCTTGAATTCTAAGTGGCATATATTCCAACAATAATAATATTCTAATTAACTTTTCTGCATGGATTATTCTGCCTTCTGATATTAGGATTTTACTTTGATGTCTGAGAAAAAGAAATGATTATTCTTTGGTCAATTTGTTACGCTATATACCATACTGTATTAACTATATGTTTTTATGAGAGTGTTTGTCCTTCAAGGCTTAAATGAAAGTTAGTTTCAGTGGAAAAGATTCATACATATATCTTGATAAAAATTTATACATCTTAGCTGGATAAAGGCACACAGCTTCTGTGTTGTAATCAACAGGATATAAGAGGCGGGTATTTCATTTACAGGTTTCAGTCTGTACGAACATTGATTATGGTGTTTTGTTAATAAGTTTGATACTGCAACGATGCAAATGCCTCTCATCTTTGTTGGATTACCACGAAGTTTATTATAAATCTACTAGCTTCCTTCACCCTGATCCCCTGCACCCTTAACAAAACAGTGCAGCATCTTATTCCTTATTAGAACAACTCTCAAAGTTTTTGTGTTGCCCCTGTACTCCTTTGCCCACTATGATTTTATTGATAAAAATTTATTTGCTCACACTTCTATTATATTACTTTCAGCATTTTTAGCCTATGAAGTTGAATCAGGCATGTATTTAACTATTTTTGTTACTTGTAGTACTAAACAAAAAAAAATACTTTTGTTGCTTTTGAATTAAATAAAAAACTGACCACAGGGATATGCACCCCCTAATTCAGATAGAAGGGAGGGAGTTTTGACAAGAAAGCGCCTGGAGTATCTTGATTGTGTTGCTCAATATTATGATATTCCAGACACTGAGCGCACGAATGAAGAGATAACCATGCTTCGGCAGGTATCGTGGATGTTGTAGGATGACTTCTAGTTATCAATTTCCATATCTGTCATTTGTACTTCATTTAATTATAAACCTTCTTTTGTGCTGCTAGATTGCTGTTGATTGCCCAAGAACAGTGCCCGATGTCACTTTCTTTCAACAAGAAAAAGTCCAGAAATCACTGGAGCGCATACTTTACACATGGTTGGACACTCTACCCTTCGTCTCATATTCTTAATTTCTAGGGTTCTTATGGATTATAAAAATTAGCAGAATATCATTCATGTGATGTTAATATTTCATTTTATATATTGTAGGGCCATTCGGCATCCTGCGAGTGGCTATGTACAGGGAATTAATGACCTAGCAACACCCTTTATGGTTGTTTTTTTATCGGAGCACTTAGAGGGAAGCATTGATAATTGGAAGATAGCTGATCTTCCTGCTGAGAAAATATCTAACGTAGAAGCTGACTGCTATTGGTGCCTAACAAAGTTGCTTGATTGCATGCAAGATCATTACACATTTGCTCAACCTGGAATTCAACGATTGGTCTTTAAGCTAAAGGAGTTGGTTAGACGGATTGATGGTATGTTTTTGTATTCTTTATAACCCTTGCATTTGCTACAGCTTACAGCCCATATTTGGAAGGATTGTGTAAAATAGCTACATACCGTTCTCGAACAATGGTATTGTATTTTGAGGCGTAGGCTGTCTCTAAGTAGCCTTTGACTTATTTCAGCCAAGTAACTATTACAAAATAGGCTCTAAATCGTTTGTGCTCTGTTAATTTGCTCCCTAATACAGGGTGATTTGAAATCTACATTGGCCAATGAAGGTGCTATAAAACACGTGTTAAGAATAGATTCTGAGCAAAATGCCGAAACATCATGACTTTTGAAAAAGTTTGCTTTCAGCTCATTGTATAAATGAGAAGGGAAACATCAAGTATCTAGTTATTTACGCATCTACTTTATGATTAAAAAAATAAAGATGTTCTTAAATCTTAAAGATTACTCCATCCACAGGAGGGACTGAGTTAAATTGGTTGGGATAAATTGATTTCATGTGGAATTCTCACGTTTACCCTTCTGTAAAATTAGTCAATCAATATTGAACGACATCTATCTTGGAACCCCAGAAATGAAAATATGTAAATTAAAAGGCAACACTGCCAACACCTAATAATATAGGTACTGGAACACATTAGTACTATTATACATTTGTGCCATTTTTTATTTGTATGATTGAAGGAGGCAACCTTAAGAAAAATCACTTTAACGCCATCAATGCTTTATGCTTGTGAAAACCAGAGCCCATCTTAAGACACATGGAGGAGCAAGGACTTGAATTTCTACAATTTGCTTTCCGCTGGTTCAATTGTCTGTTAATACGTGAGGTGTCTCTTGGTCTTTTGATCATTAATTTGAAACTGTCATTTTTTGAGTTTTGAGTTTTGAGTTTTGAGCTAATCAATGGCTTTGGTTACGCATAGATCCCATTCCACCTAGTTCATCGTCTGTGGGACACTTATATAGCAGAAGGTGATGCACTGCCAGATTTCCTTGTGTACATAGCTGCCAGTTTCCTACTAACGGTGAGATGCATTCTTTGCCCTTCGGTTCTCAGATTTGTTTGACCACCAAACTAGTCTGCTTTGAACAAGTCAAAAGTTTATTGTGAACAGTTCAAGTCTGACCAAGGCACATATTTTGTTTATTAATTTGGTAATTACAAGTTTACAACTGCTATAATTTGTTAATCCTACACATTATTTATTTAGTTTATGTTGGTTACTAAATTTATCACATGCGACTTGTCTTTTTTTGCAAATTACATGAAAAACTAGCTTCATTTGTTCATACATACCATTTTTTCTTTTTCTTCCTTGAAACCAAACAAGAGGTTTCTAACATGACTCTTTTTGGGGAAGGAGGGATTAGTAACAGTTGCTGCAACTTGTCATTTCAGTGGACTGATAAGCTACAGCAGCTTGAGTTCCAAGATATGGTAATGTTCATCCAACATCTTCCAACTCATAGATGGAGTGATTTAGAGCTGGAAATGGTGCTCTCACGGGCTTACATGTGGCATGCCATGTTTAGTAGCTCACCTAGCCATTTAGTTAGCTGAAGACTTCTTGCTCAACAGCGATGGCCTCGCCTATCCTACTTATCTCGTCCGATTTGAATCAATGGCTAAATTTGTGGGTGAAATAAAGCCTTACCGGCACGGCGACACACCAGTGTGAAATATAAATGTATTTTTCCTCAACTCTTTTTTGTTATTTTTACTTGTTTCTCCTCTTAGTATAAATGTATCATCTTCCTTGTGAAATAAGCAAAAATCTGTTTTAAGTTTTCACTGCTTCCTTGTTTTTTGTCCTGATATTTGTAACATCTGTAATCGTGCTCCACAAGGCTTTCAAGAAACACTTGTCACTCTCTCATTAGTTAGCTTTTTTGGGCCTATGACCCAAGCCTTGTATTTGCCTATAAATAGCACCTTCCGATGAGATCCCTTTTAATGGTTGTACTGTTATTTTGCTATTTTTGAGGAAAAACTAGTTAATTACTCCGTATTATGAATAAAGTCATGTTTTAAAGAAACTGTAAAGGCATGGACCGGGCCCGGGAAGGAACGAAGTGGGCTTTTTTTATAAAACATGGGCCCGGAACCAGCTTGGGTTGATACCGTGTCTGGTTCGGGCCGGGCTACCAGGCCGGGTAGCGGTTCGGGTCAGGCCTGGGCTATTTTTTTTGTTGTTTAAATATTAAGTTAACATTATAAGTTGGACACTTAGACATAAAAAAAGTTATTACAATTTTTTTTGAAAGGAACTAAGGAAGTATGTAGTACAATTGAAACTTGAGAAAAAAATAAAACAAGAAATACATTTTTTAATAAATAAGAATCCATTGGAATCTCTGTGACTTCGGTTGTTTCCTCCATAAAGTGTCGGGTGAGTTCGATGCTCAGTTCTTGAGTTCTACGTTGGGCCTTCGACTAGGGGTGGACTGGTTCCGGTTCGGGTCTGAGCCTGGTCGGGCCTCGGTTCATGAAGGGGGAGACCCAGAACCGGCCCGGGTACCTCTCGGGTCTGGGTCGGGCCGAACCTCGGTTCTATTTTTTTTTTTTGGATTTTCCTAGTTAACCCCCAACCCTCCCCCCTCATCCCCAAACCAACCCTAACCACCTCAAATGGCCCAAAATACCCAGCCCAACCCAAAAACTTAAAAAAAATTCAAAAAAAAAAAATAATAAATTGGCCCGGCCCGGGCCCGAACCGGCCGGGCCAGTTCACGTTTTTAAGGGCCCGAGCCCGAACCGCCATCCCACCGGGCCGGGTGGCCCGAATCGGGCAACCAACCGGTTCACCGGGTCGGGCCGGGCTCGCACAGTAGCGGGCCGGTCCGGTTCCGGGCCGGTTGGTCCGGCTCGAGTCCACTCCTACCTTCGACCAATCGTGGAAACAAACAAGCGTATCAAGAGAGTTTGCGCTCAATCTCGGGTATAAGTAGATATACTTAATATATATATTTATAAGTAGATAATAAGTGTATAAGTAGATATACTTCATATATATATAAAAGTAGATAATAAGTGTATAAGTAGATATAATAATTGTTTAAGTAACATATAATATTAGGTTTATAGTATACAAGTATATAATATAAGTATATTACTATAAGATGAGTAATACACTTATATTTAATACTTAATATATATAAGTATATATTAAGTATATGTAATATGTAAATATAAGTAAATAACAATAATATAATAATTAGATATTAACTATGTGTGAAGTAGATAATAAATTTTATAAATATAATATATGTAGTAATATGTTGATATAAATTTGAGAAGATGAAGATGGAGAAGATTAGTAGAGAATAGAGATTAGAGAGTAGGAATCATTGGAGAAGATGTGTAGTAAATTGTATAGAAAAACTTGAGTATTTATAGATTTTTTGTGCCCCCACCCCACCCCGGGATCCCCAGGGAGCCTCCCAACGGCTATAGAGCCATTTGGGTTTGTGGGCAACGATCATAAGGCCTTGTTTGGGCCTCCAATTTTTTTAAAAAAACAAAGTAGCCGTTAGGCCCGGACCGGGCCCGAACCGGTCGGGCCGGTTCACTGAAATCTTGGCTCGTGCCCGAACCGCCTTACCCGATCGGGTCGGTTCAAAGCCCGAACCGCCCAACTTATACCCGGGCTGGGCTTGCACAGTAGCGGGCCGGGTCGGTTCCGAGCCGGGCTGAACCGGTTGAGTCCATCCCTAACTATAATACAAGGGGGTGGATTTAAAAAGCGAACATGGCAATCAGACAAAGAAATGACAGCTCTAGCAAGATCATGAGCTATTTGATTTGTAGACCGTCGCACATAGGGGTGGATCCGGTCCCGGTTTTCCATATTTGAGACCTGAATCGACCCGAACTACTTGGGCGGTCCCGGTCTGGTCTACCCGGCCAGTCCTGGTCCGGTCTACCCAGCCAGTTTTGGGTTAGTTCGGACTTGTTATTTTTAAACTGAAGTTTACACATTAGAAAAGGAAATGTATAATTATTTGAAACAATACATTGACTTATTAACACATTTATAAATTCTAATTGAGAATAGTTTAAGCTTTAAAATTTGAATACATGAACTAAGCATCGTCCGAGTCGAGCCGCTTCCAATGTCGGTTGTCATTTACTCCATGAAATGGTGATCCGGTGCTATGTTCACTTCTTGTGTTCTATGATGGACCTTCAACCAATCATGGAAGCAAATGAGCATCTCAAGATATGAAGCACTCAACTTTGTTCAAGATTCAGTTAAAACGTTGTTGGCTTTACTAAACTCTTGTTCCACGACCACTGTTGAAATCTGCATTAACATCACTTTTTTGGCCATTTGTGATAAAATCAGAAACATCCCTTCGTGGCTCTTCCATAGTTCCACCATTGGAGAATGTCAAAGTCGTTCCCTTCATTATACTCATCATGAAATGTTAGATATAAAGAAAGCTCATTAATTGAGCTTTCTGCAACTGTAGGAGTAGATTTACCTTTTTTCAAAAGATTAGATATTGTTGATTTAAAATGACTTTTTCCTTTAGATGAAGAAGTAGTCAGTTTCGGGGGAGTGGTACGTTACCATATTGTGTATGAAACTCATAAAATAAATTGTGAAATAAATTACTAACCTCGTTAAATTGAGTTTGAGGATCTATAGGTGAGTCCTCGTACATAGGGAAGTCATCGTAAAAAGCAATATAATAGCACTCCAAAAATGTCTGATAATTCGACAGTTTGAAATGAGGATCAAGAAGAAAACAATAGAACATATAGACATAATGCAGGCAAAATATTTTTAAAACTTTTCTTTTATGAAATTACAAAAATAATGAACACACGTAGCTTGGGAAAATTGTTGAAAAGCATCGGCGAGATTAACAACTTTTATAAAAAATTGGTTAATATTTGGTGTATAAACATGATAAAAAGTTTGAGTAGTGTTAAGAAGAATATTGTTTATCAATATTACATTTGATATGGCCAATACCAAATTTGCCTAGTGTAATACCCTTCAAGCCGAATACCAATAGGGTATTACACATACAAATTTGCCGTGTATTTTACATATTTTTGCATTATTACATTTAAAAACTTATCCTTTTGAATATAAAAAATAGTATATCGTACTCTTTGAATATGGTTTTTCCATGTTGTTTTTTATTCAATTTATGTCTTTTGAATATGATTTTCGTGGTAAGTATTTTTCTGTCTAGGGTCTTCGAAATGTTAAGATATTGAATATTGAATATTGAATATGTCTTTTGAAGACGCCCATGTATGTATCTTCCCATATATCACTACACACAGTCATACGCTCATTAAAATTAAATTAGCACATAAAATGAATTAATTTATCCTTTTCCAAAAGATATTGTTTAATAACTTTTTTTTAATTATTTTTCGGCTTTAGTTTTTAAATTGTGAATTTAATTTAAAAAATCTTGAGCATAAACACGTAAAGCAAGACTTAAATATACCACTTTACAACATACTAGTTCTGATCGGTCCATATTTGAAAATTACAGTTCAAATGAAAGTGCTCCTTAAATTAATCACGTGAAATTTTGATATTATTAGTGAATGGATATTTATAATACTTTCTCTCTTTATTTCACAGAGGTGAGCTCATGAAGGATGTTCAAGTTTTTAGAGAAGATTATGATGGGTTATTGTTGATGTTACCGTAAAATGGAACTGAATATTTTATATATATATATATATATATATATATATATATATATATATATATATATATATATATATATATATATATATATATATATATATTCAGTCATGCGAAAAGAACTAATTTATGTTATATAGTGTGATGGTTTAGATTCCTTTTGTTAAAGTTGTATAACTTCAGGTCACTATGTAAGAATGAATTATTGTTCTAAATTGTAATGTTGCACTACATTTAAATTTTACTTTGAACTTGTATGTTTGATAATATTTCCTTATTGAAGTGCTTTTTTAAATTTTTTATAATAGTATGTGTGTTTCGTGATATACAGTAGAGTAAGATATAATCATTTAAAAAACGTTGTGTAATAGGTGATATAAGTTTTAGATATAAATGATATATATATCATGTTTAATAATATATTTATATATATTCAGTGGAGGGCCTAAGGGGGGGGGGGGGGGGGGGGGGGGCTAGGGGGGCACGTGCCCCCGCTTCGGGTCCGGAAATTCACTAGTAGCACTTAAGGTAAAAATCAGTGTCCCACTTCGGGCCCATAATTTTTATTATAGACTAAGTTTAGTGTCTAGTGTGCCCCCGTTCACACAAATTTATGGGTCCACCACTGTTATATTACATACTTACAAGGAATGTTGCAATAAATGTATATAAGTGTTGTATATTGTCAAAAAATTGTTACATAAAGTGTTGATATATATTAGCTAGTGTTGTGTTTAATAGCTTAGCGTTGCGGAAGAACATAATAAAATGTCATAACAACAATCACTTTTTAGAGATATATGTACTTGGTCACAATCAGGTATATATATTTGATATTTACGGTATTACACATTGATGATTAAGCATTTTGATTGTCAATGTCTTATTCATAATTGTGTTCTCTTGGACTTATGTTGTCAATAAGTAAGTGGGAGCTTATATGATAGTATAATATAAGGTCCTAAAATAACCTCAATCAATGATCATCAAGAAAGGAATATTGAAGATATTAGATAAGATTGGTATGTGGACTTCATCATACTTTTAGAAAGTATAGTTGATCTCACAAGTCACAACTATGAGTTCCTGTAATTCATGATGGTCACATAGATATTTTAGAGAATATTGGCATACCCACCGAGAAACCATTTGATAAGTTCTATTCATGTGTCTATGGGATTATCGGCGTATAGAGTAGTGTAATAGTCCTCCGACTTGAGGTCAATACGTACTACATGTGCGGAGTGATGTACTTTGACCATGACCAACGCTTGCACTACAATCGGGGTAGATATGACATGTGTTGGGTGCATCATTAAGCACATGGAGTAGTGGTTGAGTCAAGAAAGGATTCA